CAGTAAAGAAATTTTTTGTTGCCTCTGAGGGATGTGAGCTTCAACGGTCAATGGGACAGCTGCTGTGGCCTCATGGCTGAACCACAGAGATGCAGAGAACAGGCCACGCTCCAAAAATCGCTCACATTTGAATGTGGCAGCTCTGGAGAGCTATGGACCTTCTGGTCTCAGGGACTTCTTGGATGGAGCTTCAAGGAGAAGGCAAAAGGGAGGACAGCCGAGAGGAAGAAAGGACAAGAGGAGAAAAGAGGGCTTTGAGGGTTTCATCTCCTTCTGAAGGGAGCTACAGAAAAGGACCAGGAAGTCTTGGGCTGGAACTGCAGCACCGTGTTCATTCACTGCCTCCCCGCAGCACCGGTGTTTTACACCTGCTTGTCCCCTGGCCCTTACAAATACCTTGGGAGCTCTTTAAAATCCCCCTTTTCTAGTGGGATTTCCAGGAATACCTCGATCCAGCACCCTGTGGTCCTCTCCAGGGAATGGACATAGGAGGGTAGGAAAGGAGCAACTGTTGGGTGAAAAAACCTGCTTTTCCCAGCTTGACCATCCAGCAGCCCAGAGCGCGGCCGGGGAAGGTTTGACCTCGTGCTGGTGGGAGGTCTGGGACGGAAGCAGAAGAAAGTGGCAATGTCATGGAGCTGTTTTTTCCCTAGGAGAGCTTAGTGGCTCTGCTGGATGTGGCTGACGAACCGTGATGCTGTTCTCAATCGAAGAGATGTTAGCTTCGAGTGGTGGGGCTGTGGGTGGTGGTGGGGGGGTCTGTGCTGCTCAGGAATAGCACTGCAGGTAGCTGAGCTTTTTTGCCTTTCTGGGTTGCTACAGCGGGTTGCCAAGGGGCAGCGGTCTGAAGTTCAGCCCCAGAAGAATGATGCAATTGAGCTAGTGTTTCTGCATCTTCAGTTCACCCTTTTTCAACCCTCTTAAGGGGTGTTTGAATATCAAGGTTTAAAACCGCTGCAAGCCCCAGCACTTGTGATCTGACCTGTCTGCTTCATAGGTGAGAATGCAAGTTGGGTTCAGGTTCTTGGCCAGACCTCGAAGCCTGAGAGTCTGCTTTGGAAAAACTCTGCTCAGAAAACACATCTTTTCCTGGCAGACCTGGGCTGGTACCTTTGTGCCAGTAGATGCGTGTGCTGTTCCTGACCCTGCTGATACTTAGTTTACAGCATTGAAGGAGCGGGTTTTACCATGCAGATGTAGTCATGAATTTCCCCTCCCTCTAGTTTTGTATATATTATATGCTACAGTTACCTCCTTAGTGGATGTTTTCTTCCTGAGAGGTGGTTGCTTTTTAAGTGTCCAGTGCATATGCAGTTTGCAAAGGGACAGCTATACGTGCAAAGTGTTTCCGTCAGCTGCAGGTCGCAGCACCTGGTGTTTTTAATGCATAGCACTAATTTAGTGATGTCTTACAGCCAGTGTATAACCTGATTGCTCAAATAAGTTTCTTTTGAGTTTGCACTTTATTATTTCTCCTTGGCTGGGTCAAAAGGGGATAGGGTGTCTATGACAGAGCAGTGAATTAAACCCTTGGGGAGCCAATGCCCTTTCTTTAAGGCCCTCTGCTCCCGGCCAAGGGCATGTTTCTTGCTGTGCCGTCAATCCTGCTCAGCTGCACCCCTTGTCCGGGTATAAATCCTCCCTGCAAGCAGGGCTGGGGCTTTGCTGGAAGGGGTTGGGTTTGCTACTGTC